CCTTCCTTTTCAAGGCTGAATAATATTCCACTGTGTGTATAGACCACATTTTGTGTATCCATTCATCTGTGAGTGGACACTGGGGCTATTTCACCTTTTGATTATTGTACGTAATGCTGCTGTGAACGTGGGTACACAGATATCTCTTCTAGTTCTTTCAATTCTTTTGGGTATATATGTAATAATTCTATGTTTCATTTTTTGAGGAACTTCCATGCTGTTTTCCACATTTTACAACGTTACCTTTTAAATAAAGGTTTTCATTAGACTTGCTGCTTGTTCTGATTATCCCATCACTTTCCAGAAAACCAGTGTGATATATCCTTTGACTTTTCGTGGCCCTGCATGATGATGGTCTTTTCCTTCACTCTCCTGAGCCTCAGCCTTTCCAGTCTTTTCAGATTGATGTAATTGCTCAGAAAATCGCTCAGCTATAATAACCTCAAGTAAAATTACACCACTTGCTTTCTTTTAGCTATAGACATTTCCCTCTGTGTCCTACCTGTTCTCATTAGCTGTAGTTATTATACAACTCACCAGTGTCCTATTAACAATATCATGATACAACCACCTACATCCTATTAACTCCGTCTATTACACCACCTACATTGATCTTCTTAATTGAATCTATGGTGCCATGTATCCTACTTGTATGCATTTAGCTATATCTGTCAGATAGTCTGTCCCATTAGCTATATTACCCAATCTTTTGCAAACATTGCCTAACTTGCTAGCATCCTCTTTATAATATCTTCAGTGCTGCCTAGTTGTTGTCTGTTAAAACTGTTCAACTGTTTAGATCTTAATAGGTCTAGGTATCAAAAGCCCACCAGGACACATCATTGAATCTGGAGGCCTAGCCATGAACATACCAAGTATGCAGGGGATTTGGGCCTTAAAGTACTCTGTTAAGAAGGATCTTTTCCTTTGACCAATACCATACTGCCCACCAGGCTATATGAGCCACATTATTGGTGTGTGTGTGTGAGAGAGAGAGAGTGAGAGAGAGAGACAGAGACAGAGAATGTGTATGTGTGTGCGTGTATGTGAATGTATGTATATGTGTGTGCATGCATGGGGTCGGGGTTGCTGGGATATGGGAGTTGACTGGACAGTGTGGATTGAAATCCTGGTGAGAAGGGCGAGCCTGGAAGGAGAACACAGAGTGGGAAAAGGCCAGGGGAGTGAGGGCTACAGGATGAGTTGGTGTTCATTTGTCAGGACAGAACCCTTTTTGACGCCATCATTTTTGTTAATGGCTGACAAGCCTGAATGACTGCATCATAGCAACCTCAAATGTTGCCAGAATGACAGCCCATCCCAGTTTATTTTTCTGTGCTCATCTGAACCCTGATGAAGAGGAGGCTGTGCCCCAAGCACCACCCCCCCCCACCCCCGCAACACTTGGACCACATCAGTGCTTGGTTAGCAGCTGCTACAGTCAAAGACCCTGTGCCTGTAGCAGGCAAACCACAGAGGTTGATGTTGATGTCTGGAGTCTCGGGCGGGCCAGACACACAGCAAATGCTTATGAAATACTGGGTGAATACTGTGAAAGGGTGACTTGTGGAATCTGTCTTTTCGTTGTCATCACATAGCTTACTCCTGAGGTCAGGAAAAGATAAGAGGTCCTTAGCAGCCTTCTAGTACGCACTGGGGTTATTATCTGTAGGAACACTCCTGTTAAAAGGGCCAGTGAGCTGTTTATGTAACAGCTTCACACATAGACTATATACATTGACTTCTCAAGTGGTCCTATAGGAATTCTTTGCATTTCTGAAACACTTATTTTTTTTTAAATTTTATTATGTTAGTCACCATACAATACATCATTAGTTTTTGATGTAGTGTTCCATGATTCATTGTTTGCATATAACACCCAGTGCTCCATGCAGTACGTGCCCTCCTTAATACCCATCACCAGGCTAACCCATCCCCCCACCCCCCTCCCCTCTAGAACCCTCAGTTTGTTTCCCAGAGTCCATAGTCTCTCATGATTCGTCTCCCCCTCCGATTCCCCACCTTCATTTTTCCCTTCCTTCTCCTAATGTCCTCCCTGCTATTCCTTACGTTCCACTCTGAAACACTTTTTAAAAGCACTACCAAATCTGCGATCTTATTTCATGTGCTTCTGTTTATTTTTGACCTGCCATGGTGTAGATGGAGAAACTGAGCCCCTCCTGGGGTCTCATAGTAGAGTCAGGATGACAAGTCTCCTAACTGCTATCTATCCACCTCTGTGCATGGCAAACGGTGAATGGTAGAGGGAATTTTCAGGGCCTAACTGGCGTCCAGACTGAACATGCATATGCCACACTTCCGGGCGGTGTTGGGGATGTTCCTCCTTACAGTTCTGCGTGCTGGCCAGAAGCTTTCACAGGGATGTCACTGGACAGCCGCAGGGCCAACACAGCTGTCCAATGACCCAGGCCCAGCTTTGTGTAAATAAAATATCCCCATTCTCCTACCTCCAGAGCCAGCTTCTGGGTTCTGTGTTTACCAAACACCTGCCAACGCATCATCCTAAACACAGCTGGCGTCTGGGGCCTCTCCCTGTGCCCGAAACCCCCTCCCTAATTTCTGCTTCCTGAGCTCATTGAGGAGCAGATGTCAATAGGTCCCCTGGCATCTGTGCCTGAGGGCCTCCAGGTAGGATGGGTCCCTTCTGAAGCTTGAGAAAGTACCTGGCTGTACTGGGCCGATTAGTACCCCCGCCCCAAATTCATGTCCATCTGCAACCTCAGAATGTGACTTCATTTGGATTTTTGTTGATGTCATTAGCTAAATGTCTTGAGAACAAATCATCCTGGATTTAGAGTAGGCCCTAAATCCATGACTGGTGTCCTTCTAAGAGAAGAGGACACAGGAGTACCCAGGGAAGAAGGCTACATGAAGGCAGAGGCAGAGATTGGAGGTATGTTGCCGTATGTCAAGAAATGTCTGGAGTCATCCAAAGCTGGAAGAGGCAAGGGAGGAGTCTCCCTGAGAGCCTTCAGGGAGAAGGTGGCCCTGCCAACACCTTGATTTCAGACTTCCAGCATCTAGAAGTATGAGAGAATGCATTTCTGTTGTTGGAAGCCACTGAGGTTTGTGGTAATTTGCTCGCAGCAGCCAAAGGAAGCTAACACACTGGCTGACTAGCAGACAGGAGGTAGGACTGTGGGACCGGGCCTAGAGCCAAGCCCTTGGAAGTCCTCTGTTCCCCTCACTTCTCTTGCCTTCAAGGCCTAGGAGAATTCTTGTGCCAAGCCAGGAAAGGAGCGAGTTGAAAACAGGAGTTCAGAGGAAGACCAGGGCTGGACTTCCCTGTTATCATTCTCACCTTGGTGGGGAAAGACTTCTGTGTCCTCGCCCCAGTATTATTACTACCTTTCCTAAATGTCCATCAGAGGCCAAGCACTGGGCAGGCCTTTACATCATGTCATACATTCCTTCCTTATATCTTAGTCAACTCAGGCCGCCATAGCAAAGTACCACGGGCTGGGTGGCTTCAACAACAGACCCTTGTTTCTCACAGTTCCAGAGACTGGAAAAGTCCAAGATCAAGATGCCAGCTGAGTTGGTTCTTGGTGAGGCCCCTCTTCTTGGCTTTTAGAGGGCCGCCTTCTCTCACCGTGTCTCTATATGACAGAGAGCAAGGAGGCAAGCCCTGCATGTCCCTTCTTATGGGGGCACTAATCCCCATCTCGAAACCTCATGATCTGATCTCAACCCACTTACCTCCCCCGAAGGCCCCCCCTCCAAATATGCACTGGGGATTAGGGTTTTAACACACAAATGTGGGGGGACACAATCAGTCCATGGCGTCCTATAAAGACTATTAATAAAGGTGCTCTGTCCCTCTCCTAGTTTTACACTTGAGATTCGTCAAGTTGTTCCAGGTCTCACGGCTGGCAAGCGGCAGAGCCAGGGTTTGAACTGGCGTCCAGATTCACCTCAGAGCCTGCACTTAACCACTATGCCATAGTCATTGAACTTCTAGTAATAATAATTGCAGCTGCTTGTTGACGTAGCAGGAAGAGAGCCTGCAGAGCCACAGTACCCTCAGTGGCTCCCACTGCCTCCTCCCTGCTTCTAGCCCTGCCCTGCCTGCCCCTTCCTGTGCAGTAGCCACAGTCACATGATCCCTGTTCCAGGGGGGGCCCACGGAACATGTTCACACATGAGGTGGTCTCTCTGGTTGCTTATCCCAGTCCCTTTCCATCTGACAAACTCTTGCTCACCCCACATGGCCCAGTTTAAATTTGCTCTGTCTACATCATTATCTAGCACATGTTACATGGCTCACAAATCACAGTAGTGTGTGTGTGTGTGTGTGTGTGTGTGTATCTTTCCCAAACTAGAGTAGGATTACCTATTTTGGCATCTGATACCTTCCACAGCATCTCTGGATCTGCAGAGCTCCTAATAAGTGGTGGCGTAAGTGAAACATGTAGAAGACATGGAAGTCATTAAGTGACAAATACTCAGCAGAGAGGGCTATTAACTGAGGAGGAGGAGGAGGAGGAGAAAGAAAAGAACATCAGATATTCTAAGACAAGTACTTATAGAAGGAACCACTAAAAGCTTTGAGTTTTGAAAGCAAATGTTTAATTTAGGCTCTCCCTTCTGTGTGCTTGCAGATGGCACTCAATTCCATATAACGGCCAATCTATATTTTAAGATTTACTGTGAGTCTTACGGACTTTTCTTCTTTTTGATTATTAACTACTTTAGTTTTCTAAATGTATGTTCTTTAAAAGCTTGTCCTATTTCTAAACCTAATTTCCATTTGAGATAGCGCACCCCTCATTTGATGCTGGCCCCAGTGGGAATGCAGAGTTCAGGTTGTTGGTGTTCCAGGTAGAGCACACTTTCCAGGAGGTATGTGTCTTGATGTGTCAGCTGAGGCCCATGTTGTTTCTTGAATTGCCTTCCCCAAAGGGGGACAGTTTGCACCTCTGGAAGGCCCTGCCCCAGGAGTATCTAACCACTCTGGCATCTCTGTCCCCCCGTCGCAGGCTGGCCGTATGTGACCCTCTCTGCCCTGGGATTCCTCTACTGCTACTCCCACGTGGGCATCGCCTGGGCCCAGACCTACTCAGTGGACTAATGCTGCCCAGCCTGCACCAGCCCTTCCTGCTGGCCTCCACGGCAAATGGTGCTTCACCCTGACCTCGCACACCAGGATGACCTCCAAGGAACCAGTGCTTCATCTGCCCATCTTTTGTTGAAGTTACCTCACTCCAAGACTGGAAGCTTGAGCTCTCATAGAAAATTGACAACCAGTGAGGCTTCTAACTTTGGGGACGCAGAGCTCATCTCCCCCAGCCCCATCATTTTCCTGTTGAGTAAGCAGGGGTCCAGAGCAGTATTATCTTGCCCAGCTGCACATGGTGACATTGTGGTCTAGAACCCAGTCCCCGGGGGCCCTTCAGGTTCTTTCTCCTTTACCAAGAATTAAATGCAATAGACATTTGTCAATTGGAGCACAGAAGTCCTGATTAGTGATAAGAGCTGTCCTCCACTGGCCCTATTTCTGAAATATTTTGCTAACATTTAAGTGACCTCTTCCCCATGTCCTGCAGTGTGGTGTCTAGAGCCAGCACTGGGGTCTGAGCTTCCCACTTCAGCTCCCTAGCAGGGAGGAGACAAAGCCACAGTCAAGTTTCTAATTGCCCAGTCAAAGAAGATACAACCTGTCCTATAGTGTTCCAAGGGGCCAGTACCTAAGGAGATCTGTTATTGGAACACCATCACCATGATCGACATTTGGATGCTTGTTCCCTAGATTTGCAGGGAAGTATAAACATGGCAGTTCCTCTACCAGATAGTTAATCTTCATTTCTCAATAAAGCAGCAAAATTAAGAAACCATGAGCTAGCACGTCCACAGACAGGTGCTATCAGGCAAGTGACAAAGGGTAGGGATGGTTTCCTGGGGTCTTTTCTCCTCTCCACACAAGGAAGCCCCCAGCTTCCTGCTTACTGGTGTACACTCAGTGGTTTACATTGTTTTGTTTCAAATAAAATGGAGCCTTTTCTGTCACACTGATAATTCACATTTTTGTAGAATCATTTTGAATGTTTATTGAAGAAAATGCTTAAAATTTAAACACCTATATAACTCTTCTTCACTCCTCTGGAAAGTGGGTAACAGGCCACTAGTAATAGCCCCAAGTGGTAGATAATGCTGAATATATCTGTTTGGCGTTGGATTTTTTTTTTTTTTTTTGAGAGGGCAAGTGGTATGTGAAGAAGCTTGGAAGTTTGATCCATAGTGTACCTCATTATGGGAGAACTTAGTACATCTCAAACACATGGGTAAAATTGCTATTGAAGGAAAGGTTCCCTTGGACCTGGTCTGGCCACACATCTCACATCTGCTATCTGGTGTGGTCCTTGTGTCCTGGCCATGGCTTTTAACTCAATGAGATTCATACTCCTAGAATGCAGGACTGACCACCTTGCTGAAATCCCTTCTTCCTACCCATTCTGCCCGGAAGAGCAGTTGTGGGTGGAGCAGGCGGTGGGGAGCGGGCATACCCCGGGTTGACTGCTGCGAGGAACAGACCCAGAGGGGCAGGCAGGCTGACAGCAGTGGCCTCAGGAACTGGCTGAGTAAAGGACAGGGAGGCCCGGGCAGGCGATTCCAAGGTGCTGGGGAGTTTCAAGGAGGGAATGGCACTGGGAAGAGTGAGCACTCCAGTGACTATAGTACAGGATCATGGACTAACACTAGTTCAGGAACTGTGGCCAGCCACAGGGAGTCTGGCTGAAGTTCACGTGGAAGGAAGGGGCTGGTTAAGGACACACAGGAGCGTGAAGATGTTTGTAGGCAAGTGTCTGATGTATGTACATACGTAAGCAATACAAAGAATTTTGAACTCTTCAGAGACACCATTTATGTAAAAACAAATAGGTTTATTCATTCATTCAACTTATATTGGAGGAATTGGTGAATATATTTGGAAGTAATAACTCTGAATTTCTTTTAAGCTATTACATGATTTAGAGTGGTTCTCGGGAATTAGTACATGATAATTTGAGGCCTGATTAAGCAACATGTGGATTATCTAGGACCATTGTTTTCTTTCTTTAACCTCTTGCTATTCTCCAACTGTAACATGAAAATGATAATAGATGTCCCTTCATGCATGTGAAGTAAAATCTTGGATTTGCTTTAAATCAAAGATTCTTGAAGTGCCTGGGAAGACAGAGCGGTTCCAGCTGAGGAGCGTCTGACGTGTCACTTTGCACAAGCCATCAGCCCTGTGCAGCTTCAGGCGTGGGGCTGGAAAACAACTAGACAAGGTCCTAAGGTCACTTCTAGCCCCAGGATCCTCTGACCTCAACCGAGCTCTGTGGGCAAGCCAGAGAGCCGCAAACACAATTGCCAAGATGATCCCCAAGGAGGCAAGCAAGACATCTGAAGGACAGCCAACTCTTCTTGGTCATTTTGACTAATTCTTGGGGCCGTGCAAGAAGACTTCAACGTATTTTATTATTCCGTCAGATTAATTTGTTTGAAGTGACAGAAAGGCAGAAAGCCTTTTGTTCTATTAAAGACTGCAGGCCTAGAAAGAAAATATATCCATCACATATCTAGTTGTATAATGATCTATACATCTATACAAGATGGTAATTTAGTGGGATGGGGGTTTCCCTTAAAGAAATTGTGTCTGCTCACTTGCTTATTTAAAATAGTAATTATTGACTACGTATAGAAATTAACCATAATATAATGAGTTTGTTTTCTAACAAATGTACCAGAACATACCCACACAAGAGGACCAACTATTGAGAAGCCAGATTATCTTGATGGTGCTGGCCTTCCTCAGTGGGCATTGAGAAACCTGAGGCCCTTCTTCAGGGAAATTGTTTTATCTTAAAACAAACCAACAAAATCCCAATAACTGACACCCCTTTGACACCCAGAATGTAGTATCCATTATTTAGCTCTGTATTACTAGTCCTTTTGACTAATTATAAAAATCATATTCACGAAGAGATTTTTTTCACTAGTGAGGATATATAAAGAACATAATATTCAATGCTTTATTAGGTGAGACTTTTGAATGAATATTAATCACTTGGAATTTTAAATACTATCACCTTTCACTTATTTTTATTATGCTTTTCTGCAATGTAATGAAATAATAGGTTGTAGAGGACACCATTAAAAATGCTGTATTCATGCTATGGCCCCATGAGATCAAGCAGAGGCCCGAATATGGCTTGCAGATCACAGATTCCTCATCCTGAATTAAGTTCTGTCTACAAAAAGAAAAGTGCCCTTCTTGAAATGCAGTCCACTGGCAAGAAATAAGAAAGGTTGATAAGTCCCTTGGAGAATCTCACCACAGGCAGGAAACAATTATTAAAGCAAGTATTAAAACCTGCTTTTTAATGGTTCTGGAGCTATTAAAGGGGCACCTGGGTGGCTCAGTTGTTAAGCGTCTGCGTTCAGCTCAGGTCACGGTTCCAGGGTTCTGGGGTCAAGCCCCGAGTCAGGCTCCCTGCTCAGCGGGAAGCCTGCTTCTCCCTCTCCCACTCCCCCTCCGCTTGTATTCCCTCTCTCGCTGTGTCTCTCTGTGTCAAATAAATACATAAAACCACAGCCAAACCGAGAGTGCTGGTATACAGGACTAGTTCATTTAGGGGAAAGCAGTCCTCTACCTTACTAGCTTCTGAGACCATCCGTGAATTAAAGCACAGATCAGAACTCATATGGTTGATGTGGAATCACTCCAAAAAGATTCAGTTATGTTTTTTACACTCTATTTTAAAAGGCAGGGAAGCATTAATATATCTTAACAGATTTCAACCCAAACTGTTTAAAATGTAGAAGTTCACTTCTAATTGGGAGGTCACGTTCAGATACGTATTAAATCAATGTGCTGAATCAATGCCAGCTTTGAAGGCATCTCGGGACGTCTAAAGAGCAGACACAGCCCTATTTCTGGATCACAGGGCAAACCACCTTCACAACCGTTCTCTCGCTGGGCTGTACTTAGACACACACACAACCTTGGGGTCTCTAGAATCCCTAAGGTCCCCAAAACTGTACTCTCCAAATTAGGGCCTCCCAAGCTCTTGAAAAGGAATAGAAAGTACCACTCCTTGTTCTGTCATCTTAGGTCAGAACACCCAATTCAGTGCCTTAAAATTATGTAAGAAAAGGCAAAAGCAAGTATCATGTATAAAATAGTTTATTACCATAATAAATAAAATTAAACTTTTTTTTTTTACAAATATCATTTGTGCTTGTTTAAAAATGTTGAGAAGGGTATATCATCAATGGAGGGGCCCGCATATTCCTTACCATTCCCAAGCTGCACACACACACTGGAGTTTCTGGCAGCATCCTCAGCTGACCATAAAAATAGTATCAGCTCATTTGCACTTCTGTCTATTCATGCTCATTTGGACAAAGTGGCAGATGCGAAGGAAAAAGAAAAAACCCAGTAAAGGATTTGGCGGGACTCAATGGAAAGAGTGTCAATATAAGGAGAAGCCCCAGATCGACGAACTGCTCAGGAGTAGAAGTGTCCTTACGGCGCTGGCGAAACGTCAGATGCGGGCTGTCTCCAACTGATGCACAAATACAACGTCTGAATATTAAGAGAATACATTCATTGGGGCGGGGGGAGGGTGCATTTTCATGAAGATCTTTCTCATTGTTCATATCCTGATACAAGATCTGTGAACTTCTCATTGAACAACTGGTAGATCCGTTGACCGACTCCGAAGTCACAGATAAAGAGACAATGGCTCTAAGAAAAGTTTAATGGCAGGGCGGGGAGGGCACCCACCGGGCCTGGCACCTGCGGGGCACTCGAGTCCAGTTCTGGAGGTTCCAGAATAAATCTAATTTGCTCACATGTGAAAGAAGTTTCATTTGAAACTAATTTAAGCTGCAAATTCACACTGATTCTTTTGAACTGTGTGTGGTGGTGGTGGTGGGGGAGTGGGAATCAAACCTTCTCAACATGAATACCTTGTGTGAGAAAATGGTGCTGATGGCTGTGGTTGGTGTTGAAGGGACAGTGAAATTCGCCCCCCCCCCGGCTGGAGGGCACAAGAGCTGGTGAAAGTATTGGTATGAAGCAAGCGAGAAGGCAGTACAATTTAGTGACAGAGGAGAGGCTACCCTGGGGTCTGAGTGTGCCCTTGGTGGGCTCCTCTTTAAGCAACACGACGTGAGGAGGGAGGAGGGGGAGTGTTGGCAGCTCCATCCCAGCTGGAGTTCCATTCAAGGGTCTTAAGGCTAAACATCTTTATTGCAAAACATTGTACAATCTATTCATCAAATGCACATCAGCAACTTGTATCTCCACCAGGGCTCCTAAAATTTTTCCGAGAGTGCATGTTGGTGGTCAATGCAACAAGGGGAGAGGAGGCTCTCCCTACACCTGGGACCCCTAAGGCATTCTTTTAGTCCCCACAAAGGCTTGGACAAAAATTCTAATGGTTGGCTTCTTACTTTCACCTTCCACCAAAGGATTTGGGAGGGGAAGCTTGCGGCATGGGGTGCGGTGGTGGAGTGCATTTTTTACTCTGAGCCATGCTGGTTCCACTTCTGAAAGAAGGTTCCAGAAAAGGGCCTGATGTTTGGCCAGGCCAGCAACGGCACATAGGATCTAGAAAGCTGAGGGTAAAACAGCCCAGGAATTGGATAACAAGGAATGGGAACTGCTTTGAAACACTTGGGCCCATGCTGTTGTAGCATCAGAGATGTTCTAAGTCACTGATTGCCTGCTACTGGCTACAAATTCTGCACACAGATGTAGTCTGAAGTGGAGAGTATAAAAAATGGTCTTAGAAACAAGCCAGGTCTGAGCATGAATGGGGCGGATGAAGGTGCAGATATCAAAGTTGTGCACAAAACCAGGGCTTCTCAACCAGAGGGCTGCCTCCCTTTCCTTCTTGGGGGAACCTTGTCGTACTCGGGGGGGGGCGTCCTTGCAGGTCTATGGGCCAGCAGCACTCAATGCTGGAGTCCTCGTCCCCCACCGAGAACGAGTGCACCATCTTGTTGGCCGTCTTCTTTCACAGGCTCAACCCTCACCCCCACACCTCCATCAGTGGGGATGAGGAGAGCATGGTCAACAGGCAGCCAAGTGCTGGGGCAGGACCTCCAGCTCCAAAGCAGGGATGCTCCCTGGGAAGCGGAGCCTCCCTACGAGTAACATTCAAGGTAAGGAGTTTAAGTACCAGATCCGGTAACCAGCAAGTACTGGGCAACGGTAGAATACATTATGTCCCCTTCCCTCGGAAAGGAACAAATAACTCAGGTAAATCTCTCTCAGCATAACTTCTGAAGTCTAAATGTTTGGTCCAACACCTAGTGACTCTGTGTTTCCCTAACCTCTCTTCAGCCACTCGATAGTGGAAAGTTCAGTCAGTATCTGAAGCTTGTGGCCCTTGCTCGGGAAGCCAGAGCAGCATCCAGGCAAGAGTAGGTAGTTAGCACAAAGCAGCCCACGGCCAAGTGCATGTCATAAAGATGAAAAGAGAGAAGGTTTGGCTCATTTAAAAAAAAAAATTTTTTTTTCAGAGGAAACAAAGCAAAAGTCCCTATAACCCCTAAGTGGGAAGGGCTGAAAGCACGCACAGCTGCACTGTGGTGGTCTGTCACCACAGGCTCATGTGGGGGCCCTGAGACCCCTAGGAGGAGCACATTCCCACCGCAGGATCCAGGCTTCCGGTCATGAGCCCCATCCAAATCCGAGGAGCTGGTCCACGAGTACATTCATGAAGCTTTATTTTTCCCCCAAAACAAGTGTGGACTTTCAAGCCTGGCACATCTGTGTCTTTGCCCCTTAGGCCCCAGTGGGGAGTCATTTCTTAGTAAACACCTGGGCCCTCTGGCAGAGCCAGTGGGGAAGGGAAGGGCCCCTCTAGGTTGGCCTGCAGGGCGCTGGACAGTAGCCCGTCATCAAGCCCGCAGAGAGCCCAGCAGGTGCTTCTGAAGCTGGATGATGGAGTTATTAGGGACCTTGCCCTGACCCCTGACTTGAAAGTAGTGGGGACTAAACTTCAGAAGCGGGCTAATGAGCACATTGAAGGAATGCCAAACTAGAACATTCTGGGGCAGATGGGATTCCAGATCTTTTATAGCCTCTGGACTAGTGGGCAGCTTCTCAAAGAGACCGAAAGTCTCAATGCTTTATCCAGAAGAGTCAAGTCACAAACAGTCAGGACTCGGCCTTGAGAAAATAGACTTGCCCCTCTGTACGCTGCCATCTGAGGCTAAATCGAATAACGCTGCAGCCTCAGGAAGCCAAGAGCCACCCCGGTAAGCCTCCCATGAGAAGCTGCGTAAGTGCACGGGACCCCTGGGGAAGGAACCTTCTCTCGACCTCCTGGACCTCTGTTCCCCAGGGCCATCTGTGCCGTGCTGGGAGCCAGGGGAGGACAGCCCCATTCTGCACAGACAACTGAAGGCCAAGTCCTGGGACCTGTCATGGCCCCTGAGCAGGACCAGAGGGACAGGTGAGTAGGTGGGCCCTGACAGGAGACCTTCAGAAATGCTGAGTATCTTTGGTAGGGCAGGTCCCACCCTGGCAGGTCCCCTTCGGTACTGAGAGGATTAACACAGGTCAGGATCCGCGCAGCAAAGCCATGCCAGGGGCTGGGGTGAGGTGCTGCAGCGTGACCCATGCAGAAAGCCAGCGCCCTGGATGGGTCCCTGCTGTCACCCAGAGTCCAGATCCCCTGCACTCCTAATTCTCTCTCAAAGCTAGTTCTTAGAGCTGAACTTCCAATCTTGCTTGTCAAGTTTTAGGGTCCTGACCCTCTCTGCAAGGTGTATACCTGAGCTAGTTCCACTGGGCCTGGGAGAGACCTCTTTCCTTTCTCAGATGCCCTTGGAAGCCCAAACGCATGAATAATTTGGCCCCATGTGCCTAGGAGGCAGTGGAGTGTCCCCAAGCATCATGGCATAGGGACCTGGATGGCCCACAGGTGGCTCTGAGCTCAGACCTTCCCTGAGCTGCCTCTCTCCATCACCCTACAGAGCCAGCTGGAGAACCCGCCGCCTCATTCTCTTTCTGCCGCTCCTGAAGCAAGTACAACCATGGCCCTGCAGTCTTCGTCGTTTCTCCTGAAGTCCTACTGAGTCGCAGGAGAAAAAAAAGTTAGTTTTAAAATAAGGCCGAGCATGGATCCCAAGGGTCCTCTGGTGACCCCATGCAGTGGACAAAATACAAATGTCTGAAGGGCCATCAATCCCAGTGAGAATCACAATATAAACATAGGACTTGCTACAATCATTTTTCTGAGGTTGTATGTGTTTGCTAATAAAGCAGCTCTGGGCTCATCACCCTTCCTGCCGATGCCGCACACCCTGCGGAAGGCCACAGGACACGGGGGGGGGGGGGGGGGGGCGGAGGCCGAGAAGGAAAAGAAGCAAAGGGGCCCATGTGATGAGAACAGTAGCATGGAGCAGGGCCAGGGGTACACCTGAGGCCTCTGGAACCCTCCCTGTGGTCTCTCCCACGACAGTAGGCTGCAGATCACAGCCCAGAGAGTCTCTGCTTCCTGAAGGCCCCTCTCCAGCTCTTCTACTTGGGAAAGGAGGCCCGAGGATTCCTGGCTCTTGGTGTCAATGGGAGGCACCCAGAGCACCTCACTGCTTTCTGGCCTTAACCATTAGAGACAGAAGGTTGCAAGGCTCTGCCCTCCCTGTCTCTCAAGCTCCCCTTGTCCCGGGTTTGTTACAAATGACTACTGTAGGAAAATATAGGATGACGACAGACATGGGCTGTACAAGGACAGGGAATGCTGGGAAATCCCCGTGCCCACTGCAGTCTTCGGGGTTCTTGGCGCAGGAGCCCAGCCTGGTGTCTACATGAGAGGTTCTTCGGGGCGCTCCCACCAATCCCCAAATAGCTGCTCCTCTTGTCTAGTGGTTGTCATCTTTTACAAAGATCGTGGCAGTTAAAAAATTAAAAATAAAGGAAAATACCCTTTAGACAGCATGCCCCCTCTTCCAAAATTGTGCCGACAGTTCGAGAGCAGCTGCGGTCTTGCAGGGTGGTAGCACGCGCCTCTTCCCACGTCTGCTCCCAGATTGAGAGCGAGCGAGCGAGCGAGAGTGCGCGCGTGCCTCAGCGACTGGTCCCGCTCAGATTTCCCGTCAGGAAAAGCCTACTTTGGAAGTTTTTGGTCATGTAGGTGTGTGTATGGGGGGGGGGGGGAGGGGGTGTCGAGGGCAGGGAGGTGGAGTTTTCTTTTTGACTTTTTTTTTCTTTTCTCTTTTTTCAACAGACCACTCAGCTCGCTCCAAAAATGTCTCTCTCTGATTCTGGGGACTGGGGCCTCGATATCTCAAACAGCTCCTGAGGAGACTGAGAGGATCTTCTGGAAGTTAATATCCTGAGTATCTCAGAGAGCTGTTTCTCAATATTTGTCATTTTGGTGTTCAAGGCCTTGATGTCCTCCTTCAGCTCGTGCTTCACCTCCAGGACCGTGGCCTGCAGCGTCTGCTCGGGGATGGGGTAGAAAGAATGCTTGACCTCCGCCAAGATGGGGCTCCGCTCCTGGGGGCTCCTGGCCTCCCCGACGTTGTCCAGACGCAGGTCGCTCTTGGTGATGCCGCTGTCACACGAGTCCGTCTTCTTGAGGGTGGCCTCTCCGGACGCCTTGGTCCTGTCGGGGAGCGTCTCCATGGACTCGGCCTTGGCCACCTGGCTCCAGTCCTCGGCCTTGCCGCAGGCATCCCTGAAGCGGGCCCAGCCCTTGCGCCTGGCGCAGTCGCCGCCGGCCCTGGCGCCCAGGCACTCGGCCCCGGGCGCGTGCAGCCGGCCGTGGTCCGCCACCGCCGCCGCGGAGGCCGCCTGGAAGGCCACGGGCGTGGCGGGGCTCTCGCGCACGGTCACCACGCTGGCCTTCGCCAGGCTGTGGTTGGCCGAGGCGTGCTCCGGGAGGGCGCTGCCCTTCTCCACGTCCAGGTCGTCGGGGTCGCGGCCGCCCCGCTCCGCGGCTAGCCGGGCCTCCTTCTGCTGCCGGAACCTCTGGAAGAGTCGCCGGACAGGGTGGTCCGGTGGCAAGATCAGGGGGGCCTCATTCTTGCGTTTCATGCGCTCTTCCTCCTCCCGTTTCACGTCGCTGATCTTCCGGAACACGATCTGCAGCGAGACAGAAAGACAGCAAAGCTCAGCCCCTGGGCAGTCAGCGTCTGGGGCCCCCCCCAAGGACTGCCCACGACTGTACCCCTACTGGGCCTCCCCAGGCTTTGCTCAGGGCCTGCCTGCCCCTGCCTTCCCCGACCCTTGACCCTCGTTCCCAGGAATTGACTCTTGCCCTCATCCTCTTCAAGAGAAACAAACCCCGCTCTCCATCCCCAAATGCCGGGAGGGAGGCTGGAGATGCCAAATGGCCTCCCCTCCAGGGACCGTCCTGGCACCTGAGCTGGGCCCCCGTTAACCTGTCCTTGCCTGCCATACAGCTTTTGCAAAAATCATTTTTCTGACCCCACCTCCTGCTGCATTAGAACCTCCAGACAGGAAGCCCTTGAATCCCTAACAAGCTTCCCAGGTGATGTATGCATGAGCACTCCTGGTCTACACCATGTTCCAGGGCAAGAAAGCTCAAGACGAGTCCCCAGGCAGGGCCACGGCTAAGACCGCCAGGGCCATTTGCAGATCTGGACCCTTAAGTGAGCTTGGCTGGCTGTGAAAGCAAAAGTAAGTCTCACTCGGAAGCCTCTCCTGTCCTCAGGCGGCTCACGGGGGAAGAGCCCATGGCCCTGCACACGGCCTTGTCCTGACACTAACAACCGCCCGGATGGCCTGTAAGGCACTTGAATGTTACTTCGTGTATTCCCTGTAGCAGCACTGTAAGGCCCCTGGGACACATTCTCATGTCAGAGAAGAGGAAAACCAAGGTTCAGGGTAGCTAAATGTCACATAAAAGACAAGTCTGCCGTAAGTGACTCATACCCGAGCCATCCAACCCCAGACCCATCAGGCGTCCCACAAGTACTCACTGATGAGAACAATGCTACGCTCAGAGAATGGACAGACAGTCAGCAAACCAGTCCATGAATCTGGCCCTGAGTGCAGTAAGAATGACAGCTGACAAGGTTCTCCCTTGGGCTGACCTCGGATTATGGGAAAGCTGTGTAATTTCTGGCTTACATGGCGTGTGGCAGGTGCACTCAGGGACATGTTGACTTGTCCCACGTCTGAACTTGTGGGAAGCCACCTGCAACATATTGCTAGAGAAATCACTGCTCTGAGGACCCGTCTTGAGATCACTGAGAAGCAGAGGCCTGTGTAAGGGAGAACAGCAGCTTCTCCATCAGCACAACCTAGAAACCCGTGCCCTGTGCAGGCAGCCTCGGACCAACGCAGTAGCCGCCCCGAGGACCTGCCACAGGACTGTCAGGTCTTGGGGAGGCACAAGGGCTGGCAGGCCAGGAACACAGGCTTTGGGGTCAGAAAGAATTAAATCCCAGCTCTGCCACCTTGCTGTGTGACCTCACGCAGACATCTTAACTTCTGAGTCTCAGTTTCCTCCTTAAGAAGCGGGAAAAATCCCCACTTCTCTGACTTGGTGTAAAGCCAACACAAGATTACTTATGTGACAGCACTGGCCCACAGTTGATGCTTAATATGAACCCTTCTCCCTCACCCTTTCGAGGCCTCAGCCTTTTTAACCTCCAGGAGCAGATGGTGCATAATTCGCCCTCTCCTCCGGGAAGCTCGCCTGCCCAGAGTTCTCTCAGGGCGCTCCTCATTAGGTCCTCACAGATGGCCGACAAGATGGTCGATAAGAAATGCGGAGGAACCCGGCACACACTGGGTCGCTTGGTGCACTCAGCAAATCGCTGGCAGACCGGAGGCTCACACCTGTCATCTGCCTTCCCCATCCGAGCCCCTGCAGCTGGATGACTTGACACGTGGGTCATTAACAGATGGGTGCGAGGAAGCTGCCATGCCCCTTGCCACCTGGTTAAACCTTCAAACCGCACTACGTGGGTCCCAGTGCATGACTTTCTGGCCTGCACTGGGCAGCCTTTCTGCCAGCCCTGCCTGTCCCAGCAGTGATTTAATAATCCTGCCTCCCTTGGTCCCCTTCCGCTACACCCCATCTACTTCTATAGTGCAGGCTGCAGATCCGAGCTGTGGGACTCAGGAAAGTCTCACACACTTTGAAGAGAAACCCAACTAAAGGCATCACAGGGATGGAGGAATGACAAGTAGAAGGATCAGGACCCTTTCTGCGCCTCCCCCAGGGCTCTGAGTTAGCAGTCTTCTACCTCCCGTCCGCCCTCTGCTCCAGGGCCTCTGCTCTGGGAGTGGCCCCTGCTCTGCATCGGGCATCCAAAGCCTAGCCCTAACACCAAGACCCAGCTCAAATAGCACCTCCTCCAGAAAAGCCTTCCCTGATTCCATGGAGCTCTAAGTTACCTCCGGCCTCACAACACCAACCGCCTTTTCTGTGCTCACACTTCTCTCCGCCCTAATTCCTCTCTATCCTGTGTCCACTTGTAGTAAAGCTGCCATCCGTTTCCTCCCCTAGCCATTATCCCTTCATAGAGAGAGGAGGAGGGAAGAAGGGAGTAAGGAAGGAAGCTGGGACAGAGGAGGGAATGAGAACAGAGAAAGAGGAAAGAGAGTGAATGAGAATGTACAGGTACCCAAGAGCTGGTGCCTGCAGCTGATTGCTCCTTTCCTGCCCTTTGTTCTGCAGGACATCTGATTCTTAACAGTATCTCTGTCCTGTCTTTACTTGAGTTAGAGTGGGGTTCTGTTCTTTGTAAGCAACCATTCCCAAACAAGATACCAGTTATTTACGTCTGTATTTCTGAAAGCTCCCTGAGGGCCTAGAAAGGTTTCCTGCATGTCATGTTGTATCTTCTACTTAAAAAAAAAAAATTATTATCTACCCTAAGAAAGCAGGATTGTCTGTTTTGTCTACTATCTCCAGCATTTAGAAAGTGCCAGGTACATGCAGGACCCTCAATAAATATTTGTGGAATAAATGAATACATAAAAGACACACATGAGCTAATGAATCAATGGGAGAATGCCCTCTGCCCAGAAAGAGGAAGCCCAGATGTTATCATCAATGATCTAAAGGAAGGGACTGGCTTGGAACACACATGGTCCTCTCAGCAACTCTCTCAACATCAAAGGGTAGGGCAGCGCTTGAGACGTGAGATGTTCGAAGACTAAAGAAAAGGCAGTACTTCTTTAGACACCGAGGAAGCAACACAGAGCTTATCCCAAGAGGTTATACGTGAAGTATACCAGGAGACTGACAAAGGCCATTAATATGCATTCGTGGTGGACGCCTGTGAGGGGCGGGACAGCCTCTGCTCTTCAACCAAAGGCCCCATGGATCCTGGACCAGGGGATGGGGGCCCAGCCTGACCCGGGCAACGTTTTCAGATGTCGTAGCTGCGTCAATGGGGCAGATCAGCACGTACGGGCCGGGGCTCTCCGTAGAAGGAGACGGGGATGTCTGGCTCTGCGCCGACTCTACTGAAGTCTCTTGGCTTATCCCAACGTGTCCTCCTAGCGCTGCTGTCAGTCATCCTGTGTGCTGGAGACAGCCCCACCTGAACACCCGATGGGTGGATGAACCAGGAAAGAGCTTCCTGCCCTGCAAAAATGCCCAAGCCCTCCTTTGAGAATCCATGAGTAAGACCAGCAACCCCCCAGCAGACACAAAGCTCATGTGGTCTGGCCGCCGTGCTGACCTGGGGTCTGGGGTTCTGCTTACTAACTTCACCTGCGTTTTTGGAGACGCTGGTCTTGGAATCTTCGTCTCCGAGGCAGCCATGACCACACATTTGGCCAAGTATTTCATATCTGAGGAGGCAGGGGTGGCCACGTGACTCCTGACAACAAGGCCTGTGCTGCCGGCACCAGGCACGACAGCTGTCCATGGGCTCAGAGTTGATCCAGTGGCACTCTAGGAAGGAGAGGCAAGAGCCCAAGCCCCAAACCCAGGGTGCTGTCTGCTCTGACCAGGTGCCGAATGGAGGCCTGAGGAACAAGTCTATCTAGCTTTTCCAAAGTGTTCCATGAGGTTTTAACGGGGATCTTGAGGGGAAGAAATTTTAAGGTAAAATAAATTTGAGCCGCACTGCAATGTTAAATTGGTTGCTTTACTGCAGGACTTCTCAGAGCCTTACCATGTTAATGTGTCTTTTATGAATGTCTAAGAGGAGAATATTGCAGGTAGCATTTCTTAAATCCTTTCTCCTAGACCCCCTCTTTTGAAAGGGTAGTGATCCCTAGAAACCCCCTCTGGAAAACACTGAAATTATATTCATGTGGGGGAATGAGGCACCCTCTGTATCTGTGCATCGCCCTGATGGATGGGAAGGCCATGTTCCAGTTAAGTGGGGCCTCCTCTCTCTAACCTCACGACCAAGCTGCAGTGTGCGGGATTCTGGGTTTCCATTGCCCCCTAGTGGACAAACAAAGCTGCGTGACCAACTCTCCTACCTCCCACCCTCAGGCCCTGGGTATGCTCCAATCTTACTGAGCAATTTCAGGTCCTGAAAAGCCCCGTTCACCAGCTTGAAGCTCCATGCCCTCTCATCTCCCGGCCCATCCCTTCACCCTGACTCCTACATGACCTTCAGGATTCAGCTTAGGAGTCATGTCCTCCAACGGGCTTCCCTGACTCTCCCCACCCCTGGGGTCAAAGACTCTTGCTGCTAGGAGCCCTTGGCCCCGTCACAGACCACTGCAACCATCGTGAAAAGCAGCATTTTGCTTATTTGTCTTTTCCTTAGGGGGAAGCTCTCTGAAGGCAGGCACAATGCTTTATTCAGGTTTTGGATTTTTTTTTTTTCATCTTCGGTATCATGTCTGATACATATAGTGCTTAATCAATGGTCAGTGAATCACTGAATACGTCAGGGAATAAATTATGGCCATTTCCCTGTTTGTGAGCCTGTGCTGGGGTGAAAGGAATGATGTGTATGCCATCCCCAAAACACACACAGACAAATCTGTTTCGGATGTTCGTGGTCTAATGGAGAGAAAGAGGGATTACCAGTGGACTTCTCTATGCACAACAGATATGCTCCTGAAGAGTAGTGAACTCATGGGCCCCCTTCTACGATATTTCTACCTTATGATGGTGCTCAAGGGATACACATTCA